ACAGCGGTGGGGGACTCTGCTGAGTCGAAGACAGCAGCCCGGCCACCGGACCTACTTACTCGCCTTGCTGATTGTCCATTTTTATACGAGTTTACGACTTTTTAAGAACTTTTGTATACAAAGGAACTTTAAAAAAAAAAAAAAACACGGGCATCTACCATTTATATTTAATCCAAAGAAGAAGGATCTCGGGCAATTTGGGGTTTTGGTTTTGACTTCGTTTCTAAGTCCTTTTTTTCCCTCTTCGTTGACTTTGGGGTTCGGGGTATCCCCACCGCTTCGGCCTGCCGAGGACCTTCTGGGCCCCCACATTAATGAGGTAGGTGCAGCGCGGGGCGAAGGGAGGGGTGCGGGTCGGGGTGGGACACGCCGGAGTGGTGATCGAGAGTGGGCCCCTGACTTCTCCCTCCGTGTGCGCCCCACCCGGCCCACAGGCAGCCACCTGGCGAGTCTGACATGGCTGTCAGCGACGCACTGCTCCCGTCCTTCTCCACGTTCGCGTCCGGCCCCGCGGGAAGGGAGAAGACACTGCGTCCAGCAGGTGCCCCGAATAATGTGAGTGTTGCTCTTGGCCATGGGGGTAAGCCGGGCGCGCGGGGGAGGGGGGGACCTTCTGTGGGTAGGGTGGGGACGGGCGGAGCCCTGGGTCACCGAGGACCACCTCGGAGTCAGGGGAGGAGGTGGACACCGCACGGGCTCCGCAGCCTTCCCGGCTGATGTACATGCAGAGTGAGTGCTCAACATTTATCATCTTTGTTATTGCTGTCACTATTGTTTGTGACAGAAATGGCTAGCTGTCCATCAAATAGGCGGCAGGGCGGGCGCGCGGGCCACCGAGCGGGGAGGTGGTTGTGTCCACAGACACTGCTGGGCCTGAGAGCTCGGCGCGTAGGCGTCCCCGTGGCTAGGACACACCGGGAGAGCCTCGGTGTCCCAATTTCTGGGACGGCGGGAGCGTCCCAGGGATCTGGCGGGGGAGGGATTCGGGCTGGCGAGCCGAGGCGCTTGCTCACACGCAATCGGGCAGACACAACCGAACTCCCTCCGTATGGACGCACCGCCTCTCCTCGGACCCGGGTGTGGGTCGAGATTGCAGCCCTGGCACTGGAGCCCCCGGGCGCTGCCTGCCTGCTCGTTCCCCA